GGTACTCCCCTAGAATTATTAAATGAAAAAAAACATAAGTTGTTTTTTTTCTCACTGTCTTAGTTACTGTATATTACTTTCTGTTTGGACAGTGTGTTTGCTTCTCTGAATGTATTCAAATCACGCTTCCTTGAAATGGAAAACACATGTAAAACTGAAGTTGTGTCAAGAAGTAACAAGAAGTCACATGTTCACCATTTCCTTTAAATGGGCGTAAGTCACTACTCACTAAGTGCCATTGACCTGAAAAATCAATCATGTGATATATCACAAATGAAGTTAATACTTGGGTCAAACCTTGCATAGTGTTGCTTTACCTTGTATCATTGCATTTTGTAATTATTGTAATTACATTGTATCATTTCTTTAACTTCTTTGTTCTGTTTTTCTTTGTTCATTTTTATGTGAGGATTATTGATCAAGTCAAAATCAATGAGATGATTGTAGATTTCAGGAGAAACAGGAGGTCAAACACTGTTACGATCATGGGAAAAGAAGCTGATGTGGAGAAGTAGTAATGTTGTGAGGAGCTAGGTGCTGGACCCAGAATGCAGACAGCAAGGCTAGGAGAAAGGTGCAAAGTTTATTCTTTGGTTCACAGGCTGACAGTGAAGGAAGGTGTCTCTGGAATCAGGGGCAGTTGGAGGTGGCAGGCAAGCTCTCTGCAGCCGTTGGAGTAGAGGGAGGTGGGTGGTGTGGCTTGGTAGCTGGAGACTGATCTGGAGCTGGATCCTGGGTAGACAGAGCACAGGTAAGATTAATTCTTTCAATTTCAAAATCTGAAGAGATCATTTCCACGAGGGAGAGAAGTTGGCACATCTACCAACAAACGGTGACCATCAGGCAGTGAGCACACAGGTAGCCAGGCTTTAAACACTGCTCCAGATGAAGATCAGTCTCAGCTGTGTGCAGCCAGCTACTCCCAAGCCACACCTATCAGAAAGAGAGAGAGAGAGAGAGAGAGAGAGAGAGAGAGAGAGAGAGAGAGAGAGAGAGAGAGAGAGAGAGAGAGAGAGAGAGAGAGAGAGAGAGAGAGAGAGAGAGAGAGAGAGAGAGAGAGAGAGAGGACTACCTAAACTGCACAAACAGGCTCAGACACCACAAATGTTTCCTCAAAATAACACACCTGTGTTAACTGTTGTCTAGTAGTACAGACTAGACTGTAATTTTTGATGAAGCTTAGATCCTTCAGTGTTTACAGCAAGATGCTGCATATCTTCTATCAGTCTCTATAAGTGAAGAGGTTGAGATCTTGTCATGTACTGGAATAGCAGTATCAGAGCAAATGACTAAAAGAAGGTTAACAAGTTAATTAAGAAGGTCAGCTCTGTTCTGAGAACTTGTTTGATTTTATAAAGAAGAATTCATCATAACATGAAGAACATTAAGAAAAACCATGAGCATCATCTTCAAAAGATTGTTAATCACCAACAGACTGTCTTCAGTCAAAGGATTTACCAGATTGACAGTATAAAGACAGGAGATAATTCGTGACTACGGCGATTAAAATCTAGAGCAACTTGCTGAAGAAACCCCTATAAGTATTAAAACATTCCATTTTCTTATGAGATAATAAAGGATATTTAAATTGAACTGAGTTACCCTAGTTCTATGATTTCTGCTTCTCAAATAGAACATCAAATTGTTAAGCTAAGCCTTTAAACCAAACTATGTCCTCCCCACCAGATGGTGCCCTGCTCTCGTTGGGCCTCCTTGCACACCTGCGCCTCGTTGGGTCTTTCCCAGAGGAGTATTTGAGCAGCGGGCTGCCACTACCTCGAAGGCAGAGTGTTTGCCAGTATTGGGTACTCTAGCCAAGCTGGGATTAGCAGAGTCTAACCTTAGTCTTGTCTCCCTGAGTCTAAACTTGCTTTGTCTTTGTTCTTCGGCAGGTAGCCTTCCTGTATCCCTGGATAAGCCTGGACCTTCTACCCCTGGAAGGATTAACTGAGTCACACTGAGCAGGGGAAACCTCCACATGATCTGTTAAAGTCCACTTCTGGAAAATCAGGTGACAGTCCGCTCTTTAACTCCTCTGGGTCCAACGTTAGTCTGCCTGTCCGCTCTTCATTCTTCTCTGGATTTAACCCCACAAACTGGATCCAAGGAATAACCAAGACCCCCCAAATCATGAGTGCCTCTCAAGCAATATACAAGCCTCTGTCTTTTTTCCCACGGTCCCTGAACTGATCATTGTGATCTTCCCTTCAGAGTTTCCGGTTCTGGTTCACCAGTCCGCTGAGGTTTTGCTAACCCTCAATAAACCAGTTAACTTTTAGCCTTGGTCTCTGAGTGTTTCTCTGCATGTGGGTCAGATCTTTAAAGCCCATTATGACACAAACAGTACATAGCAAAAAGAAAATAAAACAAATTATGAAAAACATGTAAATGGTTTTACTTACTTTCACTTAATTGAAAACACCTTCTAGATTTTTTAATTCATTCTGAGGAAAAGGGATAGAAAGTGTATGTATGTAAATAATGCACCTGTTGACATTTCAACCTGGAGAGACTCACACAGAGGAAAGTTGCAATTAGAAAACATTAAGTTAATTTATAAAGGTAACAATCATATTCTTATATATAAATATTTCTCTCTAAGGAAAACCAGCCGATTGCTCAGGCTCATCGACTCTGTAATCCCTTGCACTGAGCATGTATGTAGAGACAGTGGAGAGGAAAACTACCTTTTAACAGGAAGAAACCTCCGGCAGAACCAGGCTTATTGTGAGCAGCCATCTGCTGGGGCCAAGTGGGGTTAGAGGAGATAGAAGCAGTTAAAGACATAAATTAAATACGTTCTTTGGCGCTTGGGCTCTGGCAGAAGATGCTGTCAATCAACAATCACTTGGATGAGTTACCTAGAAAAGGATTAGAAAAGTTTTCCCCCGGGGCCCGGACACTGGTGGTGGAATAAGCAAGAGTATGAGTGGGACTGAAAATGAGGGAGGAGATGGGGTGGAGGTGGGTGAAAGTTAATTTGCATTCGGGAGAGAGATGCTGGGCCAAGAGCTAAATGAAAGGAATCTTGCAAGATCCAGGATTGATGCTGAGAAACTAGTCCATGCATTTGTTACTTCAAGGCTGGACTATTGTAATTCTTTACTATCAGGAAGTCCACAAGCTGTAGTTAAAAGCCTTCAGCTGATCCAAAATGCTGCAGCCAGAGTTCTGATGAAAATTAAAAAGAGAAATCATATTTTCCTATCCTGGTTTCTCTTCATTGGCTTCCTGTTAAATCAAGAATAGAATTTAAAATCCTCCTTCTTACATATAAAGCCTTAAATGGCCAAGCTCCATCTTATATCAGAGATCTGATTGTTCCTTATGTTCCTAACAGAGCACTTCGCTCTCAATCTGCAGGTTTACTAGTGGTTCCTAAAATTTCTAAAAATAGAATGGGAGGCAGTTCTTTTAGTTATCAGGCTCCTCTCCTGTGGAACCAACTACCAGTTTTAGTCCGTGAGGCAGACACCCTGTCTACTTTTAAGGCTAGGCTTAAAATATTCCTTTTTGATAAAGATTATAGGTTATCCTCAGGTTATCCTAAGCTATCTTTATAGTTATGTTGCTATAGGTTTAGACTTCTGGAGGACATACAGACCCCCATTTCATCATTCTGCTTCATTCTTTCTGTATTCTCCCAATCTGCAGAATATGTTAGTTTAATCTCTAACGTTCTGCTCTCTCTGCTTTTTCTCATAGTAGCTTAATCTGGTCTTTTCCTGTTTGGCTGTGATACCATCCTGGAGAGAAATATCAGCTGTGCTGCTTCCATCAGCACCCTTATTTATAGATGCTGGAGATCGGCCTATTTTCCAGTGTAGTCCTGTTTCTCTGACCGTGACTGGCTGATGTGCTCTTTTCGTCCTCTGGCTTGGGAGCTGGCTCGGAGCTCGTCTGCCTGGCTGTGTGTTTCCTGGACAGTGCCGCCTTTTACAGCTGCTTTTTGTATCTCTGCTTCTGTCTCCTTGAACTCCAGTCGGCCTCGGCAGATGGCCGCTCACACTGAGCCTGGTTCTGCTGGAGGTTTCTTCCTGTTAAACGGGAGTTTTTCCTCTCCACTGTCGCTACAAGCATGCTTAGTGTGAGGGATTGCGTATGAGTCAATGCAATCAACTGCTTTTCCTTAGATAGAAAAGTTTAAATAAATTTGACTGTATGATCTGGTTGAACTGTAAAGTGCCTTGAGATGACATGTGTTGTGAATTGGAGCTATATAAATACACTGAAAGGAATTGAATTTTATCTTGGACACTGAGTTATAGTTTTATATGCCTGGAGCCATGTATGTCTCCTGGTTTACAAGAATGTATGATGTTATGATGAGATTGAGTTGCGGCAGAACTGGGATTCAGGGCCACTTCAACAAGAAGCAAGTCCGGTTGGTAACCACTGCATTCGGTAACCCTAAGCAACTTCTATGGTCTGAGTAAGATTACAATTTCTGTCATAATCTGGTGTCATGTCTCATGATTATTGAATACATATACATGTTAAAGTGATATTTAAAGGATTTTTCCCGAGTGATCTTATCTGAATTTAGTCTTGCTGCCTGTCAAACTTAAACCTTGGGTGTTGGCATAGTGTCAAACTAGGCTGGTTTTCATACTGTTTTACATAAAGAGGAAGGGTAATTAGAATAGGAAATCTCCCTGTAGAAATCAAGACTGAGAACTGGAAACAATGCACAGACCCATTTGTCAGGCTTTAGCTCTTAAGCCATCACGCTAGGGTCTTCCTTTTACCAGGCTCTGACTTATATTTTCAATTCTACTGCTGCTATATACTTTAAGATTTATCTTTTTTGTCACTTTTTCAATATAAAGTTATCTTTGAAAGACTTGAAAGTCATGAAAAGCATTATTACACTACTGCTTCTTTCAGGTGAGCTTCCATCTAAGCATTGATTTTTATTAATCAAAATTGTTGATTTTTTTTTTTATTTGTGTACCTTTATGATTCTTAATTGAGAAAAGAAATGTTTTATTGTTTTGCAGAACTATGTTCTGTTGGTCTGTGTGTGTATGAACACCAATATGTCTTTTACAACACTCCTAAAACCTGGGTTGAGGCACAGAGCTACTGCAGAGAATCGTGCATCGACCTGGCCACAATTGATGACATGAATGAGATGGAAAGGGTCCTGAAAACTGTTGGAAACGGCTACAGTGATGCGGTGTGGATTGGGCTGCATTTGGGTAGCACACAAAGGTGGCACTGGTCTCTTGCAGGAAAGGAATTCTACAAGGAGGGAGAACGAAATCACATAAAATGGACCATAACACATAACCATCCCTGTGGATATTACTACAAAGGGGGACTGTATGGGTCATATTTTACAACCATAAGGAACCCATTCTGCTTCGACAGTAAGTAATTCCAACTATATTTGTGTCTTTAAAAATCCTATAACTTAAGAGTAAAATTTTATTTATTTCTGCAATAAACATCCTTAGAGGAGACTATAAAAAAGAACACCCTCCTCACTAGAAAGCTACCAAGAATTAGATATGAAAAAAGAAATAGAAAACTCTTGTAGATGGAATTAACCAGAAACAACATGGATCATAAAAGTATTAATATCAACAAAGAAACCAGGAACCTAATCAGCAGTAGTAACAGGAACCTCTGAAGAAGAGAGATTCGGTTTGTGGCTGAGTTGGATCTCAATAAGAAATGAGGAAACAAAAATAAAGCCACCAACTTTCTCAGAATCTTTGTTGGATTGAGGATGCTGAATTGCAGTGTTCAGAACATGGTTGGTTCAATGGTGATGTTACTGCCAGCTTGAACTGCTTTGATAGAGTGCATACTGCTCACAAGAAAATACTGGGACAGAGAGACAATCAAGAGCTCAGAGGCAGTCCCAAGATAAACCACAGGCGTAACTTTCTGAAGGACTGGTGGGGACATGTCCCCACCAATAACTTCAATACATAGATTTTGGCTCTCAGCAATATGTGGGACAATTTTAGAAATTTTCCGCTTTTGATGGAGGATAATCACTGAAGTAGCTGAAAGGGAAAACATCCATCAATCAATCCACATTTTTCCTGACGGGTGAATGAAACTGAAATTGTGCGCTTACTACGGAGGCATGATATATTGCTGCTGGCATCAGAACCGGCTGTTATTAATTCTTTTTTTGATACATTAATGTCTAACTACCCATACATATCAGTGTATTATGGTGCTTTTGTGTTCTGAACAATAGGAAATCATTCAATAAATATATGTTTGAGTTTAGTTTTAGAAAATACAAACCCTATTGAAAGCGTTTATGTCGAGTAAAGGCTCATTTTCTACTTCAAAACGAGGTCGTCTGTGTAGGCGTCGCAGTGAACATAAAGAGTCCCCTGCCCCTCCTCAGACACTCTGCTGCACCTATTCCAAATTGTAGGTGACCGCAGACAAGGCCGCAGATAGGAGGCCGGCTTATTTTGTTTTTATGACCGAAATTGTGGAAAACAACTCGTGAAGTTGGACCAGCTAGAAGAGCGAGGTGTGCAAGAATGCAGGGACCCTTTTCCCACCTTGATCCCCGCTATCTTTCACCATCATGTCCCTCCGTTGTCGGACAAACTCACCCCCACTTCCTCACCGCCTCGGCCGTATCTAGACCCACAGCGTATAGCACAGACTGCGCTTCAATACTGGGCATAAATCAAAAATGTCTGCGTCAAGCTCCTGCAACACACTGCTGCAGGAGTATAACCAGCCCTTAACTGTAGGTCCATTAGCCCCCACCCTTAGAGTGTCGCCACCAACTTCCATCACAAAGTTACACCCTTGAGATAAACCTAAAACTCCTTGGTACTGGGACAGAAACAGGGTCAGACCTGAGAGGAAATAATAACCTTATTTGATTTTTAGTGTTCTTTAAGTGAGCTAGACATCAGCAGACAAAAGGATTCCCATTACATTACTTTCGGCCATAATCTGATAATAAAAATAAGATGAAACATGGACATTTATCCTTAATGTCCAAAAGTATTATTGTGGTTTGTTGCCTAATATCATCTTCGTCATAATTGAGGTCATATGGAAAAGCAGCAGCTAAGGCTGCATCTCCACCTGAGGTGGATTTTCTGTCCCTCTGCTTTGGAAACATGTAAAGAAACTGTAAAATGTCTCCTTCAAAATCAACAGGATGATTCTTGGAACTGTTCAGTCATTTCTTTTATCAATCTCAGATTGCTACCCCTACATCAGTTTTGAATAGCTCCCCATCTGTACATTGGGGTTGAGTGTTTCATAATTATTGTCATTTTTCACATTGCCTTATATTTGTTGTTGTCCCCTTCTCCCCCCCACCCATCCCCCACCCACCCTTCTTTTTTTCATCTAGCTGAAGTTTAGCAGGCAGGCCACAGCAAGGCAGACTCTCTTTGCCAGTGGCTCACAGTAGGGGTCCTCTTTGTCACAGTGGTTCATAAAGGCAGGCCTTCTTTCCAGCCTGGTTCTATAAGTTATGAAACTCAAGAGAAATGTGTTGCAAAAGGTCTGTTTTACAACAGTTTGGTGCTGAAAGGTCCACAATGACTTATCTTTGAGGGTTCTGGAAATCTCGGCTCCTCCTGGGCCTTGGATCTCCACTGTGAAATCTGTCCACAAATCTGTCCACAAAGGAATCTTCAGGTTTGGCTCACGAGGGCAATCTCGGCAGGTTAAGCCTTCCAGACTTGGGAGAAGAACTGAGGACCGCGGTCAGAGAGTATTTCCTGAGGGATTCCATGGAGCCGGAAGACATGCTTCACCAGAAGCTGTGCTGTCTGGAAGGCCGTGGGAAGTTTTCTGAGGGGAATAAGATGACAAGACTTGGAGAAACGGTCGACGATGGTAAAAATGGTGGACATACCTCGGGAGATTGGGAGACCAGTGACAAAATTGATGGCGATGTGAGACCACGGGCGAGCAGGAACAGGTAGGGGATGCAACAGACCAGAAGGTGGTTGGTGTGAGGCTTTGTTTCTGGTGCAGATGGAACATCCCAATACGTACTCCTTTACATCTTTGTGTAAAGATGGCCACCAGAAACGTCTAGAAATCAGGGCGATTGTTCGGCTCACTCCCGGGTGAGCGGAAAACTTGGCTGTATGCATCCACTGGATCAAACGGGATCTGACAGAAGAAGGGACATAGGTCCTATTAGGAGGACCGTTACCTGGGTCAGGTTCAGAAGCTAGGGCAGAGTTGATGAGATCTGTGATCTCCCAGGAAACCACTCCAACAGTACAGGAGGCAGGAAGAACAGGTTCAGGCGTCTCAGGTTGATCAGCAGAATAAAGACGAGAGAGAGAATCGGGTTTGATGTTCTTGGAACCGGGTCTGTAAGAGATTATGAGATTGAATCGGGAGAAAAACAAAGACCATCTGGAGTGACGTGGGTTAGCCTGTTTGACGGACTGGAGATAAGCTAGGTTCTTGTGATCGGTCCACACCAAAACTGGATGCTCGGCCCCCTCGAGCCAGTGTCTCCACTCCTCCAAAGCGAGTTTGATTGAAAGAAGTTCACGGTCCCCAACATCGTAGTTTTGTTCCGCTGGTGAGAGTCTACGGGAGAAAAAGGCACAGGGGTGAATCCTTTGATCAGAGTCGAGTTGTTGGGACAACACTGCACCAACACCAGAGTCAGAGGCATCCACTTCAAGGATAAACTGTTTAGCAGGATCTGGCTGGATCAAAATAGGAGCTCTGGAAAACAGGGTCTTTAATTTCTCAAAGGCTCTTTGCGCCTCCGGAGTCCATTGTTGATTGATTGATATGTAACCTGTGAAAAAAACTGCTTCAATTGGTCCCGCATACTGCCTGTATTTCAATCCCGAAAGAATAATTCGGGACGAGTCAAAACAACCAATCACAGCAAGAGGAGCGTCTGATGGAGTGTCAATCACAGCTCACACACGCTGAATCCCCCCCCCCCCCCCCCCCCCTTTCTGGTCGCATGCGGTAGCCGCGCAGATGCTGTGAGAGGGGTGGAGCTTGGAGGTGGGGCATGAGTGAAGCAGAGAGGGTGGGGGAGTGGCGTGAAACCTGTTTTTCTTCAAATTTTCAGTCGAAGTCTGCTGTCTCCTCAATGTTACAGACTGCAGCTTTAACAGAGGTTAGAGTTGTGAGAGGTAGAGCTGTCTGACTGTAGTTCCTGATGAAACGTCTGTAGAAGTTTGCAAAACCAAGGAATCTCTGCAGCTGTTTGCGGTTCTCAGGTGTCGGCCAGTCCAAAACTGCCTTAATCTTGTCTTTGGATGGCTTAACCTGCCCGCCCTCGAGCACAAACCCTAAAAAGGTGACAGATGGTTGGTGAAAGTCACATTTTTCAGCTTTAACAAAAAGCTTATTTTCCAACAGTCTTTGAAGGACCAAGCGGACATGTTTTTTATGCTCAGAAAGGTTCTTGGAGTAGATCAAAATGTCGTCAATATAAACAAACACGAAAATATTCAAAAAATCTCTGAGGAAATCATTGACAAGTGCTTGAAAACATGCAGGAGCGTTTGTGAGACCAAAAGGCATGACCAGATACTCAAATTGACCTAAAGGGGTGTTAAAGGCTGTTTTCCATTCGTCCCCTTCTCTTATTTGGAGAAGATGATAAGCGTTTCTTAAATCGAGCTTGGTGAAGACTGTAGCCCCCTGAACAGGTTCAAATGCGAATGCTAGTAAAGGAAGTGGGTATTTATTTTTGACAGTTATTTGGTTAAGGCCTCTGTAGTCAATACAGAGTCGTAGGGAACCATCTTTTTTGCCCACAAAAAAGAAACCAGCACCCAGAGGGGAAGCAGATGGACGGATTATCCCGGCAGCTAGAGACTTGTTAATATATTTTTCCATAGTCTCACGTTCGGGCTTGGAGATACAGGTGCTGGTCATAAAATTAGAATATCATGAAAAAGTAGATTGATTTCAGTAATTCCATTTAAAAAGTGAAACTTGTATATTATATTCATACATTACATACAAACTCATATATTTCAGATGTTTATTTTGTTTAATTTTGATGATTACAAATGACAACAAATGAAAATCTCAAATTCATCATATCAGAAAATTAGAATATTGTGAAAAGGTTCAAAATTGATGGCCCCTGGTGCCACACTCTAATCAGCTAATTAACTCAAACCACCTGCAAAAGCCTTTAAATGGTCTTTCAGTCTAGTTCTATAGGCTACACAATCATGGGGAAGACTGCTGACTTGACAGTTGTCCAAAAGACGACCATCGACACCTTGCACAAGGAGGGCAAGACACAAAAGGTCATCGCTAAAGAGGCTGGCGGTTCACAGAGCTCAGTGTCCAAGCACATTAATAGAGAGGCGAAGGGAAGGAAAAGATGTGGTCGAAAAAAGTGTACAAGCAAGAGAGATAACCG